TTGCACGATCTAGCCTTTTTCGGCCAGATATGTGGTCGGAAATGGCCATAGTGGCGCACAATAGCCATTTTCGGCCTTCCTTAAGTTGTTCTGGTGATGCCGATAGTTGGTCACAACGGTGGTTGCCAGCGGCAGGTGGGTTGGGGTGGTGGCTTGGGTGGGCTGCAATTTGTTTTGAATTCAAGGGTAATATTGTTCAAAAAGTTAATTAATTGGGGCGAAATAGTAAAAGCTATATTCATATAAATAAATTTAAAAATAAGGGCATTATTGTCCTAAAATTTTATTAATAAGAGATAAAATTATAAAAAAAAAAAAAATTATCCTAATAATGTTAGAATACATAAGAAAATGGAGGTAATCAGATTACCTCCAATATTACCAACAGTAACTACTGTTAGTATTTGAAAATTACTGAAATTTTATATTACTTGACAACCAAACATTATCATCAAGTAATATAAGATAACATAACTTTAGTAATCTCACATTACCCCCAACCAAACGCCCCCTAATTTTTAAAAAGTATTGAAGCACCTTCTTAAACCTACATGCCAAAAATAAGAAAATAAAACTCATTAAACAAAGGACGAATGACAATTTCCCACTCGAAGTTAGGCGCAAAGGGGCGTTTGGTTCAAGGAATGTCAGATTACTAGGAATGTTAGATTACTGGAAAGATAGATTACCTTAAAGATTACTGGGAATCTTTAAGAAAATGTTTTTGGTTAGTTGGTGGGTATGTTATATTAGTATGTTTGATTATGGGGAATAAATTGATGGGTATGTTATTTAAATTACTAAATTGTCCCCTTTTAAAATCTAAATATATTATTATTTTTATTATTAGTTTTTGAATAAAATATTTTAACCCCCAATATTTCAGATTTAGCTAAAATACCCCTGCTTATATAAAACTTTAATTTATGACTAAATCACCCCCACCTCCTACCGCCACCTGCCGCCACCGTCGGAAGTCTTCGAAAGTCCTTGTGAGTAGCTTACCGTGACCAAGAGGCTCCGATATGGCCATTTCTGCCCATATTGATGGCCGAAAACGGCCACATCGGGCCAGATCTAGCTTGATATAGCCGTAAACGGCCGTATCGAAGCCTCTCGGTGCCTCCCTCTGAATCTCATTCTTTTTTAGGGACTCCGGAGAGTTTTCGATGGCAGTCCGTGGTGGTTGGCCCATTGTCGGCTGTGGTGGCTGGGTGGCAGTGGTGGTAGTGGCTGGGTGACAGTGGTGGTCAGTAAATTGTTTTAAATATAAGGGCATTATTGTCCAAAACTTTAATTAAACAAGGGTAAAATTGAAATAGGATATTAATGTAAATTTCTTTTAAAATATGAGCATTATTGTCCAAAACTTTTATTAATAAGGGATAAAATTGTAACAGAAAAAGATAACCCTGGTAATCTTAGAATACCTAAGAAAATGGAGGTAATCAGATTACCTCTAATATTACCAATAGTAATCACTATTGGTATTTGAAGATTACCGATATCTTATATTACTCGACAACTAAACATGATAATCAAATAATATAAAATCATTTAACTCTAATAATGTCAAATACCCCTTAACCAAACGCCCCATACGTGTTTTTCCCGCCCGCAAGATTTAAAAAAACAATTTCCTAATTTCCCATCCATCATTAAAATTCAGTTTTTTTTTTTTTTATTATAAAGGAAAAAATTCCCTAACCCTCTTTTATCTTTCTCCTCCCACCTCACCGCTCCAAAAGCGTCCATGTCTCCTCCCTTCAACCTCCCCACCTCTCCTACTCCCACAACAATCGGTTCCTAACCTCACCCAATCTAAACCTAATCTCTCTCCCTCAGCCCTCACAACCCAGTCACCCACCTAATCACAGCATCGCGGCGGATTTGTTGCTTTAGATCCACCGCGACCTAGGGTGTCCGCCACGATCTGGGCTAGATCGTGGTGGATCGGGTGAGATCACAAAGCAGTCGCATTCTTCTGCCACGGTCTGGCCGATTCCGATTTGTAGTTAATTTTTTTCTTCCCTTCCTCCTTAAATGGCGACCACGCTGTAGGTGATTTTTCTTTTTTGGTTGTTAGGTAAATAAGAAATTGGTGACGATCGATCACATTTGGTTTTATTTATTTGTTTTTCTTAAAACCCAATATTCCTTGTCATCGATCTCACCAGTTTTTTATTCTCCTAGCACCCAAATGTCATGGAAGGTTTCTTATGACGACGGTAAAGATGTTGTTGAAGCAAATACCATTTTTTTTTTTTTTTTCATTATCAGTACACCTATATAATTTTGTGTTTCACTTGAGTATTTCTTTTAATTAATTTTTTATTGATATGGTTTGTGTTTTACATGATTATTTATTTTAATGAGTTAATTTATGTACAACTCTCAACTGATTTTGTAGTATGTTTGTTGCTAAGTGTGTCTACAATCTAGGGAACTTTATGAGATGGAATCCTTTGCGAATAGGAGAAGGAAGTCCTCTTATAAGGATGAATCATGGTAATTCTTTCCAGCAACTGTTTTAATTGTTTTAGTTGGGCTTGGCCTAAGCTTCTCAAAACTATATGTTATTTGTCTTAGTTTTGCTACCTTTCACTTTTTATTTCAATAATGCTTCTCGGTTGCCTTACCATGAATTATTCTCTGAAGTATCAGAATGGTGGATAACATGTCAGCTTATTCTTTTGTCATTTGTTTTATTTTGGGAGTAATGTCTTAATTTTGTTTTAATTTTGTATGTAACTCAATATTCTTATTTGGTGTTAAAGTTCTGTTTCTTGATTCATCTGTTCTTGCAGCATGCTTAGATTTACAGTGGACTCCTGAAGGTGATTTGCATCAAATAAACAAAGAGCAAAAGCCCGCAGTTTCAGTCAACTGAGTAACTATCACTAAAGCTTAACTTAAAGAGAAAAGATACTTGCCACTGTCCCCGATGAGAAGGAGCTTGATCAGGTAATCATAATCGGCGTGAGCTCTAGCTGGCGCAGATTTACTTTGAATAGCTCGAACCACAATCAAACAGTCACTCTCTAACCAAAGTTGCCTCCAACCATTAGAATGTGCAATATGAATTGCAAGAAAAACTGCCATTAACTCTGCATAATAGGCAGAGTGAGTGCCTAAACTAACTGCGAAACCTCCAAGAAAATTACACGAATCCAATCTTAACACTCCCCCCGCAAGCAGATTAACCAGGATTCCCTTTTGATAATCCGTCCGTGTTGACCTTAATCCACGATGGAAAAGGAGGGTGCCCAGATCCTCATTTCTTTCATTAGAAAAATGATCCACTATTAAATTTATAACTAAATCAAGCTCCTGTTATAGGTTGTTCTCGTCAATTAGAAGCTACATCAGAATTCTGGGATAAGACTTTATCAATGCTCCTGTTATGTTATTTCTATTACTCTGAAGTTAGCAAAATCAAGTCACAATGTGTACTATCGACGGTTTTGTAAATTCTTATCTTTCCTCACCTTTCCCACTTCACCTCTTCTCTATCTCCACTTCACCCTCATCACTGCCAAACAACTTCATCCATTACACCAGAAACAAAGTGTAAAACTAAAGTGGCAGTCTTTTCATAAATGGCAGTGTTGAATGCTTTTGGAGCTACAACTCTGAGTTTGAAAAGCTCTTCTTCTCATTTACCCACCTCTTCATTTCCCAAATTAACAAAATACACCATACATACATACGAATTTTCATACATAAAATGTATGTATTATATTACCTATACAACTGATAATAAAATCTTAAAATACGACAGACCAAAATATGGTTAAATAATAAAAAATATATAAAACTTTACTTATGTATTTAAGTAAAGTTCAGATCATTAGAAAATTCTGATCAAATAATACAAATAATTCATTCGACCATTGAACTTGAATGCAAACTGGTTTGCAAACAAATTTGATCAATTTTCAAACCCACGTATTTGTTCAAAACGCATTTATATAAAATAGTATCCATAGCTTCAAGTGTTCATATAAAAACAAAGTAGCTGGAATTAATTTTCCAAGAAGCTGAGGGGTGCTTTGCGTTGTTCTTATAAAGGATTTGACATGAGAAAGTGCACGAGAAATTAACAAGAGCTTTGATTGAAATTGTTTTTGTAGTTTAAAAATCTTCTGTTTAAAGAAAAATAGGTTCGGGGAGAAGTTTGGTGGTGAGGGGGGAAAGCTGCCGATGCCGGAAAATGACGAAAAATGCAGGTGGCGATGTTTGCTAACATGCGCCCCCTCCTGCTAAAATGGGTGGTTATTTTGGTGAAAAGAAGGTTGGAGAGAATGGTGGGGATGTTTTAGAGGCTGGTGGTAAGGTGGTTGTTGTCGTGGCATTCTTCGCAAATTCAAATTGATATTTTTGCTATTTAGTTACTTTTAGCTTAAAAGATGTTGAAGCAAATACTTCTTTTACGAGATTTTATCTTTATAACTTTTTCTGCTTGCCCATTTGAACCCTTAAAACCATTTTCCTATTTGCTTCATTAGTGCTTGTTTCTTTTTATCTAGTACTATTTATATTTAGTTTCTTTGTGGTTGTTATAGCTCTGATTTATCTAGTATATTTGTATTACTTTTACAGGTTCCTTTTACTCTCGTTCAAAGGTGGTCTGATTATTTGTCTGATTATCTTGTTGTGGACATGCATGGCTCTAAAGATCTTCATACATTTATTCAGGCAATTAACACAATTTTTGGTTATAGGTGCCCTATAAGATCAGATGTTGTGAAGTTTAAAGTTTCTTGTACATTTCTTCAGGAAATTAAGACAAATTGTGGTTATGGGTGCCCTGTAAGGTCAGATATTGTCAGGCTTAAATTTGATTAATAGCATTTTCTCTTCCTTCTTATTTGTTCATTTTTATTACTAATGTTGATATTCTACTTTGTTTGCTTGTTGAAGGTTGGTTTGATTGGTTCTGAGGAAATTCTTTGAGTGGGAAAAAATATCAATGCCATTGGCAATGGTTTCAAAAACGTAATCCTTGAGATCCAGTCAGACAAAGATCTTCCCTATTTTTTGTAAGGGTTTTATTAAAGAAGAATTTTTGTTAAGTTTTGTTGTTGGAAATTGGCGGGAAATATCCATAGTGCTTGTTTGACTGACTAGTATTTCTGTTTCCTGGAGGACTAAGATGACTAAGGATCAGATGGTAGCAGATATTGCCTAACGGTCAAAAGCAAACTTCTGGGTATGTATAGTTTTGTGGTTCGCTGGCTGTTGGTATCCTTGGGTATATTTTCAGGTGCACAGATAAATTTCAATGAGTTCAATCTACTGTAGATGGGTTATATTGATTATTGTTAATGTAGTTTTGAGTCTATTAATCAAAATTTGTCTCCAGGAGGTGGATCGCAACAACCAATCCAAGCTCTCAGATGATGCCAATGCTGGACACAAGCAACTCTGTTTGATCTGCTTCATGAAGACGAGGACTAATGATTTTGGATGTGGGCATTACGTTTCTTGCGATCAATGTGCCATAGTAGCAATTGAAAATGAACATGAGTGTCTCACTTGTCACATGCCAAGCCATAGTTTGTTGTAGTTAAGTCTCCCCTAAGGTTAGAGTTTGGTAAGATTCAATGCGCATATATTAGTCATCCGAAAATTTTTGTCAACATGCTTCATTGATAGCTCTTGAAAGCTCTAGGAAGTGATATTGTTATTAATCTTTGTCAACAAATAATTTGGAGCAGCTGATTGCTACAAACATGCCGTTGTTGGATGGTCAATCTTTTCGTTCTAAATACGCACCCGAAGTTGCAGAATAAATAACAAGCCCATGTACTTTGGAGGCTTCAACAATTGTGTTCTTAGTTTTGCAATCTTTGCCTTGATCTGGCCCAGACGATATATTCTGCATTATCATTACAAAATCGAAAAACAGAACTTAAGGATCTGTTATCTAACCAACATCACATTTGTAACATAAAACTTCTCTCTTGTAAACAATACATCGGTGTCAAAAACATGAAATAACACTTCTATACGGTAAATCTAACATTGCACGTTATTAATTTCGGTAACATTATGCAAGTGACTGACTTACCTGTGGCTTTATTTATTTGGATGCGAATCATCTCAGCTTTGATTCTTTAATCTTTTTAATGATAACCATTTTGTTATTTCTTTAATTCAGCTAATACTCATAGTTAAATAAATAAAAATCAATAAATAAGCAAATTATTAGAAGCTAAGCAAGTGTTCATAAAGATAACATAAGCAAATTGGAGAATGTTAAAGATACATGGAGAGAGACTGAAGTATGTTCATAAAGATAACTTATCCTCGGTTAGATAAGAAAATGGGAATTATTGTAGCATTTAGATCAATGTTCTGAAACCCGGACCAGATGGGGTTTTAGTGAAATTTCCGGGTTGTAAAGGGTAAAAATTGAAAACTATTTTAAAATTTAAATTTAATTTTTTTAATGAAAAGCAAACCCTAAAGTCAAAGTGTCAAACGACTCAAACCCATTTTTATTTTTGCATTTTGCTTTTGCGATTCAGCACTTTAGCTGTGGCGCTGCTACTTTGCTCTGCCGTCTGCGTGCGATCTCCTTCAGCTTGGCCCTCCTCCAGGTTGCTTTTTCTTTTTCAGTTTGGCCCTCTTCCAATTCAGTTCAGTCCTCCTCCTCCATTCGCGATCTCCTTCAGCAGTTCAGCTTCAGCCTTCAAGTGTGAATTAGCCTGCTTCTTCGGTTTGCCTCCTCCAATTCAGTTCGCGATCTCCCTGCAGCGCTGCTACTTTGCTCTGCTGTCTGTGTGCGATCTCCTTCAGCTTGGCCCTCCTCCAGTTTGCTTTTTCTTTGTCAGTTTGGCCCTCCTCCAGTTCAGTCCTCCTCCTCCATTCGCGATCTCCTTCAGCAGTTCAGCTTCATCCTTCAAGTGTGAATCAGCCTGGTTGATGGATCATGGATTCATATTTGATATTACTTTGTATTTCACTATTTTGTAATTTGTAATGACTTTAATGATATTTGAAAATAGAAACTTTAGAGTTTAGACTTGAGTTGAGTATTGAATTTCAGAATTTGTAAACATTAAGTCATTAACTATCAAATTTTGATGGTTATAATGTTTTTGCAAGGTCTGTTTAATTGTTTTTAGATTTCAGTTACATACAAAATCTGAAATTTTTCAGTTTTTTTTTTTTGTTTTTGCTGACGTCATCGGTCCAATCGACCGGTCCAACGTGCAAACCGGATATTTTGGCGGGTCGACTCCCGGTCTGGTTTTCAGAACATTGATTTAGATAAGGTATAGAATAATAAATTCAGTTTTTTATTTTTTTATTATTAAAAATCAGTTTAGTAAATAAAAGAAATTAAGTTTTTTAAAGCCTAGACCCTAAAAGAATCCCAACCAATCCTCCTTCCATCTTTCTTCCCCATTCCGCCGCCCCCAAAATCCTCCACCCCCTATTTTCTTTCTGTACGCTAACCTTGGCCATCCACCCCCCCAAAATCCTCAACTATAATGACAACTACGTGCGTTTCATTCTCTTCAATCTTATCGTTGCTTGCTTTTTATGAAGTCCCACCGCGAGCTAGTGCTTGCTATCTCACAAGTGCTCCATGGATCTCATCAGAAATGTCACGGCCTCCACAAAATCAACCACCACAAAATCAACCACCACCACCTCCGCTACCGCATAAAACGCCACATCTAAAACCTCCACAACAACAACAGCAATCACTTCTAAAACCCAATATGCCTTGTCGTCCATCCTCACCAATTTCTTATTTCCTAACACCCAAATGTCATCGGTCGTCACCAATTTCTGATTCTCCCATGGCCAGCGTTGTCGTTCTCCCAAGGTAAGACAAAGAACAATGCTTTAAGATCTTTGGCTTCAAGATCTTTACGTTTCTTGTTTTTCTAAATTTTTTTATTTGATTGTTTGTTGTTTGGAATGGAATGGGTCTATTATTTCTTTGATTGGAAGTGTCGAATGAGCTTTTATGGCGTTTTATGGTGGTGGGATTGCTTTGTTTGGGCTGCCGTTTGAGTTGCTGGAGCCTGGGCTCAAAATTTTCATCTGTTTTCTAGTTTATTCACATCGTTTTTTAAATAATTAAAAGATATAATTTATAAAAGAAAGTTATAAGAAACTAAATTTTTTATGAAATAAAAAAATTAAGTTTGAAACGCAATGCTATTTTTGAAATAAAAGTTTAATAACAAACTTAAAGAGGTGGAGGACTTTATAAAAAATATACATTGTTTGTGTAATTTCCTATTTAACTGTCAGTGAGAGTGAATAATAAAAGTTAAGAGTGAGGAATTGATTGGAGAAAGAGAAACAGGAAAATGGCAAGAGAATTTGTAGAGGCTCTGTTATCCTTGAACTTGAAGTGAATAGACTAATACATGACTGATGCTGGTGTTAACAGCCTTTAGTATTAGGGAAGTGACACACAAAATTTTCTAGGCCTTCTTCTCTTAATTATTAATCCGATTTAAATTATTTCATTTATATTAATATAGTTTTTTTTTTTTATAATTATCATTAATTGTCTTTGATTTTGTGTTTGAAGTTTGGGTAGAAGGGTAAGTTCACCCCTTTGGTTTTTAGAAGCTTCGTTTTGTTCTTGTTTTAATGATGTGATGATATGTGATGAGGAGGAGGACGGCGACAATAATGATTATCCTATATAGTATTTTCTGTGATATTAATTTTACGTTAATCCTTGTTTAAAAAAATCAAAAGGAGCACAAAAATGTCAAATAATGACAATTTTATTTAGTTAGAGAACGGTGTATTTTGGGTTTAGGCTTTTGGGTTTCCTTTGTGGGGCATTGTTGCTTTGGTGTGGGCTGATTTGTGAAGGATTATACATCTTTGTTTTGCTTGATTCTTTTTTTTGATGACCGAGGGTGTTTGGGCCAACTTGCTTGCTCGGTTCTTTTGCTTTCCCTCGATCCTCTGTTGTGTCTCAAGGGTCGGGGAGGTTTCCTCCCTTTAGGTGTCACAAAATTACGATTTACCAAATTTTTTTTTTTATTTTGAATTATATAATATTGTTTATGTTTATCTGCTTAAAATGCTTAATTGAATATTGACTTGGTGTGCGCTTGTTCCATCTATCCTTTAGGCAAACGTTGCAAAATATGGGCGATTGCTTGGTTTGGACGTGGGAACAAAGTACATCGGAGTAGCAATTTCAAACTGAGGGCAATTGCTTGGTTTGGACGTAGGAACAAAGTATGTTGGAGTGACTGTTTCAAATTGAGGGCGTTTGTTTGGTTTGGACGTAAGAACAAAGTATGTTGGAGTGGCTGTTTCAAATTGAGGACGTTTGCTTGGTTTGGATGTAAGAACAAAGTATGTTGGAGTGGCTTGCAATATGAGTCTGCATAATTTAGTGCTGTAATTTAATTTTTGTTTATGTGGGTGTTAATATGTTGAAATTAGTTAGTAAAAGTTATATTATGTATTGAATTATTATGTTAGGCTTTTCGTTGATGTGAATCTTGTGTTCATGGTGTTTATAATGATTTGGCTGTAAATTGTATTATGATAGATAACTTATAATCATTATTTAAGTGGATCTCATACTATAATTTGAAAGGTTTTATCATTGGCTGTCCTTATCATACACTGTCAAACGCGACTAATTTGAGTTTTTATTACATAAGCTGTTACTATAATCTTTCTTTTTAGTCCCTAATCTCCTTAAATTATTTTTATTTGGTAAGTCATTAATAACTTATAATCTTTATTTAGGTGGGGTAAGATGGGTTTTGGTTAGAAGGCTGAGGGGAGAGTTTTTGTGGTGGGGTGTGTTGTCGACCCGGAAAACAAGCCCTATTTGGCCTGGATTGTCAACATCGGTGGTGTAACTAGGGGTATTTTTGCAAGATTTCAAACTTGTAAGAACTTATCTAATTTTTAGGAGTGTTTTTGCTGAATTTTAAACTTTTTTACATGTTGACATCGTTGGTTTGACTTGCCGGTGAAGCTGATCAACCTAAGACCTGACCACTTTGCTGGGTTTCACCTCGGCCAGGTTTTAAAACCTTGGGTTCTATTTCCAAGAATGTAAGAATAATAATTGAGAAATTTGAATGTATAAAACTAACTTATAAATTTTGGAGAAATGCAAAAGAAGAAAAAAAAAAAATAGACAAATTAAAAAGAAAAATAATAAAGCAAAGATTTAGTACTTACATGATCTTAATGAAACTCTTTCAATTGCATAAATTTTGTCTCCATTTTTTAAAAATAGATTTAGGTTTATATTTGAAAGTGGAATTAAAACTTTTACGTACTTATAATCTTTTACAGCCTTATTTAGTAATTTTATTAAGGAATAAAACTGCAATTAAAAATTAATAATAATTGAGCTGATAACATCGCTCGTTAATTAATGGAAATAATCAAATTCTAATATAGTGAAAATACTTGGAGCAATACATTATATAGTATTAAGGTATAACAAAAATAAAGTACGCTTTAATTTAGAACAAAAGTAGGATCACCTTTGTAATATCGAGACAAATTTTCGATGAGAAGGATGATACTGAAATCACTCGTATGTTTATTCAACAAAATTTCTATTAAAATGTATTTATTTGTCTACATATTTCATCTAATTACCATAAATATTGTCAATAATTTTTAAATTGATGCATAACACTACGACATCAGATATAATTTATTCCAAATTAGTGTTACAAACACTTGGATACATAATAATGGAAAACAAGATATGGATTCAAGACGATGAATCCATATCAAAATACAACTATGAATGGAGACTGTTTTATTCATATATATCAAGCACTCTCATAATTTATTCATGGAGATCCTTTGCTTGAGTGAGCTAGGGTTGATCAGGAGAATCAGGGCAAAAGCAAGGGCAACATCCACCTGGTGGAGCAGGCGCACAGCACACACAAGCTGGGCAAATTGGGCCGTCTTGTAGTAATACTCGATCCAAACCTGCAAATCAAGGAGTTAGCATATCAAAATGAAACCCTAACATCTTTACATAATCACTTAACCGAAAAACTTAAATAAGTTTGCAGGTAAAGATTAACAAATAACGTAGCTTCAAATATCTATGTTAGTATTAAGCTTTCTAACACCAGCAAATGTTACAGAGTTACTCCGACGTGAAGTCATTGCGTCAGTAGAAGAGGCTGATTTTCTTGTAGTGCGTGTAAATATGGTGATATGTATGAGTTACGTGATTACCTTGAACTCGAGCTGCTTCGCATGGCAGCTGAAGGGGAGAGAGCACCATGGCGAAGATGAGGAGGGTCACCAGCAAAGATTTTGCGTTGTTGATTGCCATGATTAATCTGAGCTTAATTTCAAGAGAAAATGTAACTAATTATATGCTTCGGCTATATTACAAATGAAGCAAATTTATAGATTTCAAGAGTTCTTGCACAAGACAATATTGGTACGTATGTAATGCCGAAGTTTTTGAGTCAAAAGATTGGTTTCCCACTAATTAATTAACTAGATTGCTGTTATATTCTTAGAGTTGAAGTTGAATCTTTCAAGCTGCCAGATGAATTAATTTTTCATTGACTTTTTCATTACAAAATTGCGTGTTCGTGATATTTGAAATTTAATTTAGTACTGTATATGGTTTATTTTGTACCAAATTAGAAGTTTACGCATGCTTCGATCAATTCTTGAGGGAGACTAGTGTAACAACCTATCGCTACGGTCCCCTATTTAAGTTATAAATGCTCAGATAGATAATCGAACTTAAGATTGCGTACAAACATTTATTGTACCATCATATACAATTCAATGTACAAAATTACTTCTTATTTTTTTTTTCACACAAAGCTGTTTTTATCAATTTGATATGTCAGGTTGATAACATTGAGATTAAATTAGATTAACCATAGTCAAATCAAGAACTGTTTTATAATTAAAAATAAAAGTTTGACTATGTGATAACTTGCAACCTTATATTTTGTCTCTCATAATTCTATCAAGTTCTCCATGAAGAACTGTTTGTCAAGATCTGAATGGTTCAATTCATTCATGCTGAATCAGGATTTTCAAGCTTTGAAGCTGTTTATATATGATAGACTTTCACCATGATATTATGCTTATCCTTTCATATCAAGAATTTAAGATATATCAAGGCTAATATTACAATGTCTACGTTTATATTTAGTAATTTGGTCAAAACGACCTGTCAGTTACATCGTCTTGCGAAAATGACTTGTCGTATGTATTTTCTTACAACACAATATAGCGAGGTGTTAGTGGTAGGTAAGCTGGGTGGGAGATAAGACAGAGAGGCTCAGAGTTCACATCGTACAGTACTAGCCGAACAACTAGGGCAATGAAGAAACGCGGTAAGGTTAAGCCAAAATACTAGGGCTAGACATGGCTAGAGAAGCCTTATAAAATAACCATACAAGGGTAGCATAAGAGATAGACTTTGGAATGATCTAGTGATCTAAAAATCGGACTAGATCGGCCAGTCGATCCAGGCGAATCGGGAATTGGCAGCCTATCCAGTCCAATTCAGGTTATAGGGGGTTTTGTTAGATTTTAAACTATAGGGCAAATTCATAATTTTCTAGAGGTGTTTTTGCAATATTTCAAAACCTCATGGACTAATTGAATTTTTTGGACACTTTTTGAAATATATTATACTTTTAGGGACTAATTTGCAATTTTTTAGGAGCATTTTTGCAATATATTAAAATTTAAGGAACAAATTTACAAATTTAAAAAAAAAAAAAATTTGGTTGCTGACATCATTGGTCCGACCGACTGGTCAAACAATGAACCGAGTCCTTGATTGAGTCAAGATCGGTCTGATTTTTAGAATATTGGAATAATCTACCAATACGAGATAAGATATAAGCCCGTGTCATACAATATGATCGTTTCATAAATATCAACTTGAAAATCAATATGTCACATTGATAACAATGAAGATTAAATTGTACAGTAAAGAATATTGATTATTGACCAATATTTCTCTTGTATATTAATGACAGATCAGGCTTTTCTTCAAGATAACAATTTGACTTTGTGGGTTGAGGTAGCTTGCAAGCTTACGCTTTAAATTTTTGAAATAAATATCTTGACTGAATTTTGATGGTGACCAGCTTGAATTTATGAAAGCCTGATGACAATTTGTATTTCACCAAACTCCTATAACTTAATTTAATTCAACACTATAACCTGGGTTTGGATTCAAGACTAGAAATTTGAACAAATGGAGTATAGCTTTTATTATTGAAAACAAACAGATAACATAAAACATCTCACTCAAACTACAATATATCACTTTTATTTTTCTTAAAAGATCTTCAAACTAGTTTATCTAATTAACAATGGTGACATCTCAAAATTCCATTCCTCTACTCATCTTCTAGTTCTAAATCTTCCGGCAATCACCCGGGATAGAGATTGACCCATCAAGCTCCGGAGCCTCCAGGATTTTCACCATTTTAGCTTCTCAGGGAAGTACTGCAACAATATCAATACACCAACTTCATGTTAAGAACAGATAATCTAATAAAATGTGACACGAAAACATGACTTTGAGCTAGCTCACCTTTTCGATGAGGGAGAGATAGTACGGTTTGACCTCTTCGACATCTATCCAGACTTTGCTCTTGCTGTAAAGGTCATATTTGCTGCACAGGATTGAATAAGAATATGGATAAGATAAGAAAATATACTTAACATTGACTAAAGTGATTGAATTTTAATAGAAGTTATGGATAAGCTTACTTGAATATTTGCAGCCACTTCAGATTCTCAACATCTTCCTGATTCAATAAGTGCGTATATGCTTCTGATCTGTGTAGTGCTGCAAATTTGATGAAAAACAGATGCATTAATGTCACTTAATCACTTATATGTAAACAGAAAACATGTATATAGGGCAACGGCGTTAATGAAATGTCTCCAGTAATTGCCATAGAATGAGTGGTATCTGATGATGAAAAGCGCTGCTGAAGGCAGAGTAGTTTTATTCTCCTTGGCCACCTAATTATTTTTCAACCTAAAACTTAGTTTGATGAATGTAAATTTATGAACAGCAATATTGTAGACGTAAAAATCTACCTGTACGAAAGGGGGGTCTGATCCCGTGAGGTCAAGGCCACTAGCGATCTGCTGCACCTGCACACGTAGAGAAACACACGCGTGAAGCGAACGGGAAACACCGGGGTGGTGTTTGCCGTAGGCACTCCGACGCTCAAGTCAGTAAGGCTGAAAGGGGCTAATATAGTGAGGGCTAAGGAATAAGAGATTACCGGAAGTCTAGTCGGGGACTGTGACTACGGCGAATTAGTGAAACTCTCGAGTGAAGAGTCTCGGGTGTGAAGGTGTAATGTTGATGTCCTTTGTGAGAGGGCTGGCCTCTGTTTATATAGTGATCGTCTGGTCTCCCAATCTTGGTAGAAGTAGGAGTCCTAGTACGACTCTGATGCAAACCCTAGAAGAATTAGGGTTGTGGTAAGCTGTCTTACCAGTGTCCGTATAGGAAGGTGATTCTGATTAGGGGAGTAACTCCGAATAGGAAAGTGATCAGGAATAGGAAGGTATTCTGAGGGGGTTGTAGGCTTTGGATTTGTCCATGGACCTAGGACATGGGCCAGGTTTGAGAGGCCTGTGCCCGCTCAGTTTGGGCCGGTTTGTTCCTCACGTTAGAAGAGAACTACGGCTCGGGCCTTTGCAGGACTAGGCTTGGTCCTTCGCTAATGGTCCTTTTTCCCTATTTGGGCCAAGGACGATTTTTGGCCCTAACAAATATGTAATTTGATTAAGGCTCGAAAATATTACCAAGTACATGTAGTCGTCGTGCCCCCACGACATCATTACGTTGTTTAATCCGCATCCTTCATTGTAGACTCCATATTTAGTATTGTAAGCAGGATTGTTATAGTCTGGATTTCTTTGAAATACTGTAATGACAACGCAGTATAGTCATTATTGATTAATTGTTTGAATTTTAAATTTTAAATTAAACTAAAGTATTTAATAAACTTATATAAAAAATAATAAACTTGCAATATTCAATTGGTGGTGTTGTATATAGCTGTTGTGTGTGGTTTTTCCGCCAAGCTCGGGCCAACTCGAGGATATAACTCGATCCAGAATGAGCTTGACAACTACGATTGATCGACCCAGCATAAGCTCGTCGAGCTATAGCTCAACCCAACATAAGCTATTCGCAAACAGTTCAAGAAATCATTCAATCAATCCCTAGATTACTTCAGATCCCAAATATTGCAGGAATCACTGGATCAATGGTGATCACTGCGTAATCACAGTGCCTAATCACGAGGATATTTGAATTATGATTCAAATCAGTTTCTAATCCCTTGAATTTCGTTGCTTATTTTGTACAAACCTTGTATATAAACCCCCCTCAAACAATGAGGAGGGGGTCACGAATTTCAGATAAGAATTGCGTTGTAAACTCTCACAACAAATACAAAAACACAGTGGACGTCAGCTGTTAACCTAGCCGAGCCACTTTGAAAATCTCATTGTTTTTAGTTCATTTCATTCATATTCATCGCTGATTATCACTAATCACGCACACATCAGTTCTGATCTCGGTAAGATCGATCGAATCTCACTGGTTGGTGCAAAATTCTGTACCAACATTTTGGCGCTAGAAGGAGGGCTTGATTCACAGCAGCTCTCCATGTTTTTCCCTCAAGTCTCAACTTCTTCAACAAATCCCAGCTTCTTAATCTAGAATTACGTCATCAAATGTGAAAATCTGAGCAGGATAAAGTCTGAATCTGGCTAAGTGGTAAACACAATAATTGTAGTCTTTTGAGTTAGCTTTATGAAGGTCCAAGAATCATCCAAATATGAGGTCTACAGCTCAAGTTATTATGAAAATACTAAAGCCTATTCCAAATCAGAGTTCTTAGATAGCGCGGCCAAATCACTCAGATTGTGCGCTTAGATCACTCTGATCTTCAGCTTCAAATAGCGTGGCCAGATCTCTCAGATCGCGTTCTCAAATCTCTTAGATTAGAAAGAGCTCACTAGCTCTCTTGCTCTCAAGCTCCCATGCTCTCCAAGCTTTCTAATTGAGCAATGCCTTTAGATCAAGCTCTCCATTCTTTCTAATCGAGTTATGCTCTCAGATCAAGCTCTCCATGCTCTCTGATCGATCGATGCTCTCAAATCAAGCTCTCCAAGCTTTTTGATCAAGCAATGCTCTCAAATCAAACTCTTCATGCTTTCTAATCGAGCTATGCTTTTAGATTAAGCTCTCCAAGCTTTCTGATCGAGCAATGCTCTCAGAACAAGCTCTCCATGCTTTCTGATCGAGCTATGCTCTCAGATCAAGCTCCCCATGCTTTCTAAACTAGTAATGCTCTCATATCAAGCTCTTCATGCTTTCTGATCGAGTAAGGCTTTCAGATCAAGCTCCCCACGCTTTCTGATCGAGCCATGCTCTCAGATCAAGCTCTCCATGCTTTCTAATCAAGCCACGCTCTCAAATCAAGCTCTCCATGCTTTCTAATCGAGCCACACTCTCACATCAAGCTCTCCATGCTTTCTGATTGCGCCACACTCTCAAATCAAGCTCTCCATGCTTTTTGACTATGCTCTTAGATCAAGCTCTTTATGCTCTCTAATTAATATCATAAGCTCGCTCATTCACTTGAGATCGTGTGTTCAAGATCTCTCAGATCTCTTAGATCACGGCAAGCATAATTCAAGTTCTTCACTTCGAGACTGCAGCCTATAGTGCGACAACCATCCAGATAAAAGATATGAGTTTTGAAGCACGATTATGCACTCCAAAAACTGGGGGCCTTGTTGTGCGGTCAATCTAGAGAGGATAATTTCCTGTTAGGAGAGAAGATATTTAGATTGGCTCAAATTAGAAGGAAGATATTCAGATTGACTTAAAGGGTAGCCAAAGATCATGCAACTTCCTAATCCTAAATATTTGAATCTTATCTCAACTCTATCATGTAAATGGGTGCTATATAAACCCATCATAACTTGTTTTCAAGAGGGCTTGGCAATTGTTCTAATCAAATTTTCCTAGGAATTATACTATCCTTTGTAAGCTCTAAAAAACAATAAGATAACAATGGACGTAGGCTCAAGTTCTAACATGTCAAACCACTTTAAAAATCTCTCTATTATTTACTGTATTGTATTTATTATTCATCCACTACTGGTTATCTGTAATCATGCGCACATCTATTCCGATTCTGACAAGGACAATCAGAATTCTCTGGTTGGTGTTAGAAGGAAGGCCTTGCCAAAATTTCAAATATTTTGGCAAATGTTCACCATGATTTACCTATTCCAAGGGCAAAATGGTGTAGACCAGATAAAAAACTACCCCAAAAAATCACGGGAACGTGGAAACCACCTACCAAGAGGTGTAATAGGAGAACGTTAGACACTAAGCACTTGTGCCGCCAACTCAACACACCACGAACAATTAGGGGGCATGGATGTCAGGCCCTGAGAACGGCTAACTGATGGAGATGATAAAGAAAATGGTTGCACAGACGGTGCAACAGAACGTGGTTGAGCTACGGAACCAACAACCAGTTGCCCAGAACCACAACAAGTCCCGTTTCACCAAAGCAATCCCAACAGGTATGAATTTTACAGGTGGACAGTCTGTTTCATCACCACCAAGGAGCGATCAACACCTCCAACCTCGCAGGCAGCATTCCACGCACGAGTGTGAGTCTAGCAGGCAAACAAACCCTAGGAGGCGGCCAGGGAAGCAACCATTGAGAAAACGCGAAGGCGACAGACACTACTGAGAAGCTCGATGGTATCCCCAATGTCAACGTGCCGATTTTAACCCACGCCTAGGGCAAGATCGATCTTCACAAGCTCGCGAAGCGAGTCATGTGCGTCAATTTGGCAATAACTGATGTTCCAGTTATGACCGACGTCACGAGCAACGCACTGATAAGTATGATAGCACATATCAAGCCAACTATCATGACTCGACCTCGCGTATCAACGCGCATGCTAGAGGAGCTTCGCAAAAAGCAGACTTGCGGACTCATTTGCTCGAGGTAAGGCTTAACAAAGCCAGCCAGGGCAACCAAAATGAAGACTTAGATTGCATGCAAAGGATGCTTGATGATCTAAGAGCACGCCAAAACAACTTGGCAGAGGAAGAAATAAGTTCCCCCTTTACAGAGGAAGTTCATCAAGCCCCGCTCCCACAGGGGTTTAGGGCGTCGGAAAGCAAGTTCAACGGGAGAAGGGACCCTAGAGACCACCTCGACAACTTTAATGGCTTGATGGAGCTACACCAGGTCAGTGACGTAGCGAAATGTTGGTGCTTCATAGTCACATTAGTCGGAAATGCCAAGAGGTGGTAGAAAAGGCTCAAGGCGAACTCCATCAACTCTTGGCTACAATTTTCCTCGCTATACTTACAGCAATTTTAGGCGAGGAGGCAGTTCACGATGCCACTTAGCTATTTGAGCAATATTCGCCAAGAG